GAAAGACAAAGGACTTGAAGAATAATTTAAGTATTAATGGCTTAAATTGGTGGTTGATTGGACCTCCACGTGCATGCATGAATTAAAATCCTTCTTGAAGTGAAATAAAGGGCTGCAGGAGGGTTGGCAAAAAGCTAGAGTCCATTTTAGTCCAATTTGGTGGCTATTAGAATTTTATTCTGATATATACACATACAAAGAGAGAGGGAATATTTTTCTATATACTTGAGGCTGCCAGGGATAGATAGACATGCATGGCAACCAATTATATATAATTTTCCTACAGAATTGAGGCTGAATTTTGAGAGACACGCACGGAAATAGGAGCAACAAAATTAATTGGAGGGAGTTGGAGATTTGTTTCCTGCCATTAAATTTACACGCACACTAAATTGAAGGAGAGAGAGGGAACATGTGCAGAAAGCCCGTGGAGGCTAGAGCAAAATTGGCGACTATTTCTGTCAATTCTCAGTGATGAATTTTGTGATAATATCTTGTTTTTCCTCCATTAACATGCGTAGCTAAATTTAATTTTAGGGTGAACAACGTAATCTATTTGAGACTTTTATTTCTTTTATTTGAGATTCTTGTTATTTTATATGTTATGTGTGAATTTTAATTATGTTTTTAATACTTTGAATTTTCTGGTCAATTATTCAATGATTTCGTAAACAATAATTACTTAGAGATCTGGACTCTCGTTTAGACCACATATTAAAATTCGATAAATTAGTATAACGTGTAGAGATACCTATATTAGTTGCTGCGGTCCTATAGAAATTCTTAGAACTGTTATTTCGTTTAATTAAATTTAATTTGCATAGAGATATGAAATTGAACTAATTAAATAGGCTCAACGAGATCTCGAGAGAGGTAAATTGAATACAATAGAAGAATTTGACCAAACATTACTTTAATTTTATGAATATCAATATTAGAAGTAAATATGACCAATATGTGAAATTGTTCCGTCCTAATCTCCATTTATTATTTGAATTCTCACTCATTTGCCATTGCATTAACGAAATTTTTAGTAGTTAGATTTAAAAATCACATTCAATCATTTTTATATTTATTTATTTTCATCAAATAGAATTTAGGAATAATAAATTGAGTACTAAAATATAGTTCTCGTGGGAACGATAATTTGGACTCAAAATGTCCACTTTACTACTTGTTACGATCCGTCCACTTGTAGGGATAAAATCGACAACAAGTTTTTTGCGCCGTTGTCGGGGAACTATTACTTTTAGTCTTACTTTATTTATTTTTTATTTTATTTTATTTTATTATTTTTATTTTTAATTGTTATTTGATTTGTTTATTTTCTTTTATTTATAGGAAAAGTTGTTCGTTGTATGCTTCGTGTCCAAGGTGACGGTCTTGAACCTTTTGATTCAGAAATAAAACGTACCATTAGACGAAGATTCAGGGAACACAAATAAAAGCAACAACATCAAATGGCTGACAAACTAAACAACCATATTCTCATACAGCTAATTGGACAAATGGTCGCGAAAGATCAATAGCAAGAGTAAAGGGAAGTAAATGAAGGGGACTTACCAGTATCTATGTTCTTAATGCTTATAGCAGCACCCGCACAGTCCAACATAGTATATCCAGATTTTTGGGTAAACAACTTCCAGATATGGGCTGACTGGACTAATTTGATGAGCAACACTTTGCAATTCTACGGGCTACCCCATGAGAATCCAAACACACAAATCTCCAGATTTCTCAGGAATTGCTAGAATTGTCATGCTCCCAGGGTTAATGAGGATATCATCAAGATGCGATTATTCCCATATGCACTAAGAGATGCAGCATTGGAATGACTGGATACCGAACCTGATGAAAGTATTACCACACGGAGGAATTGACCAGGAAATTCTGCAATAAGTTCTTTCCACCAGCTAAGGTAGCAAAAATCAGACTGAAAATTCAAACTTTTCAATAGAGAGATGGGGAGAACTATCACGAGTCATGGAATAGATTTAAGGAGTTGATGAGGAAATATCCAACTCATGGGATCACTATTGGAAATCATGTGCAGTATTTCTATATAGGACCTTTACACTATTCAAATCTCGAGAAATCAGTGCAACAATGTATGGATCTGTTTGAGTTGATTGCTACTACTCATTCCATGTTTTCATCAGAAAGAGTGGTGCCTCCAATAACAACAGGAATTTATGAATTAGACAGCACAGTATCTACCAACGCCCAAATAGCAGCATTGACAAAACTGGTAGAGTTATTGGTGAAGTCACAAACAAAAGGAGCACATGCAATGATAATTGGCCCATCTTACGAAAACTGTGGGGCAAATTACCTAATAGAAAATTGTACATCTATGGGCTTTCTGGAGGAACTAGTCAACTTCATTCAAAATGGCTCTCGGAATTTTAATCCCTTTTCACAAACATACAACCCGGGATGGAGACAACACCCAAACTTCAGATGGTAGGATAATCAGCAAGGGAGTAGTTCAAACAATGCACAACAAGAGAAAAAATAAAGTTTAGGGGAGATGTTCAACTAGTACATGCAGAAGACAGATAAGGTTTTCCAGCAGATTGACACTAACTTTCAAAATCAGCAAGCATCCATTAAGAAATTGAAAACTCAAATTGATCAAATAACTCAATAACTTACAGAACGCCCACAAGGGACATTGCTAGGCAACACAATGGTCAATCCAAAAGAGCAAGTGCAAGCTATTACAACTAGAAGTGGAATGCAACTTCCAAAGATATATGTGAAGAGATCAGACAGAAAAGACAAAGAAGTAATGGGTGAAGAGGTTAGGACAAAAGCAGAATCTGAACAACCAACTAACGAGGAGGATAAAAGGAAAAAAAACACTCACAGTGAGAGCACCCAGCCCCGTGAAAGCTTATGTGCCACCAATTCCCTTCCCTCAAAGGTTACAGGGAAAGAAGTTGGATAAGCAGTTTGCCAAGTTTTTAGAGATTTTCAAGAAACTACACATCAATATTCCGTTTGCAGATGCAATTGCCCAAATGCCCAGCTATGTTAAATTCTTGAAGGAGATCCTGTCTAACAAAAGAAAGCTGGAAGAACATGAGACAGTCTGCCTGAACGAGGAGTGCAATGCAATTCTATTGAAAAAGCTACCTCCTAAACTAAAAGACACAGGGAGTTTCACGATACCTTGCACAATTGGTTCTAATTATTTTGAACATTCTTTATGTGATTTGGGTGCCAGTGAACCTTATGCCTTTCTCTCTTTATAGGTCTCTTTGGTTGGGAGAAGCAAAACCTACAACAATCTCTTTGTAACTGGCTGACAGATTGATCAAATGACTAAAGGGGATTATTGAAGATGTGCTAGTGAAAGTTGACAAATTCATTTTCTGGCTGACTTCATTATTTTGGACATGGGGAGGATTCAAACATTCATTTGATCTTGTGAAGACCCTTCTTGGCTATCGGAAGAGCACTAATTGATGTTTACGATGAAAATGTGATTCTTCGGGTGGACAATGAGCAAGTGATATTCAACGTGTTCAAGAAAATGAAACATCCATTGACTTCTAACACTTATTGCCAAATAGATGTTCTTGAAGAGCTTGTGGCAGATACATTTGAAACAGAGCATCACACAAATCTTTGTGAGGAAGGACTTGCGTAATCTGAAGCAATAAATGTAGGAAAAGTTGAATGTGTTGTTAACTTGGTCGAACAACCAATAAGAAGGAGACATTGGTAGTATGAATCTCTTGGCAACAACCCTTTACCCCTAGTACCTTCAGTGGAAAAAGCACACACTCTTGAACTAAAGCCCTTGCCTTCACTTCTCCGTTATGCATTTTGGGAGACTCCACAACACTTCCAGTGATCATCGCGAATGATATAACAATGGAAGAGGATTATAAATTGTTGGAAATACTCAAGCAGCACAAAACGACAATTGGATGGACAATAGCTAACATTAGATAAATCAGTCCAACTCTTTGTATGTACAAGATTTTAATGGAGGACGGGTCAAATTCATCAGTGGAAGGACAACGCAGATTAAATCCAACCTTGAAAGAAGTAGTGCAAAAGTGCTGAAATTGTTGGATGCAGGTATTATATATCCCATCTCTGATAGTTCGTGGGTGAGTCCAGTGCATGTTGTGTCTAAAAAGGGTGGAATCACAGTAGAGAAGAACGAGAACATCGAACTAATACCAACACGGTTAGTGACAGGGTGGAGAGTATGCATAAATTACAGGAAGCTAAACAATGCAATCAGAAAGGAGCATTTTCCATTGCCATTCATTGATCAGATGTTGGAGAGGTTCGAAGGTCATTCTCATTACCTCTTTTTGGACGAATATTCTGGATACAATCAGATAATTATTGCTCCAGAAAATTAGGAGAAAACAACCTTCACATGCCCCTATGGAACTTTTACATTTAGAAGGATACCTTTTGGTTTATGCAATGTACCCACAACCTTTCAACGGTGCATGATGGCCATATTATCTGACATGTGGAAAAATACATCGAGAAATTCATGGATAATTTTTTTGTGTTTGAAGATTCATTTGATGATTGCTTGGATCAGTTGGCTCTTATATTGTAAAGATGTGAAGAGAAGAACCTAGTGCTAAATTGGGAAAAATGTCATTTCATGGTAAAAGAGGGGATAGCGCTGGCCACAAATTTTCGCCAAAGGGCATTGAAGTTGACAAAGCCAAGATACAAGTGATTGAAAAATTGCAGCCTCCTAATTCAGTTAAGGGAGATCAAACAGAAGGTTCATTCAAGATTTCTCAAAAATTACAAAACCTCTATGTAATCTACTAGAGAAGGATGTGCCATTTCACTTTTCTGATGAGTGCTTAAATGCCTTTAATACTTTGAAAGAAAATTAACTTCTGCACCTGTAATAGTAGCACCTGATTGGGATATACCTTTCGAACTTATGTGTGATGCTATTGAGTTTGCAGTGGGAGTAATGCTTGGCCAACGTAAGGGAAAAGTGTTACATGTCATCTGCTATGCCAGCAAAAACCTTGACAGATGCTCATATCAACTACACATCAATGGAAAAAGAGATGCTAGTAGTGGTCTTTGCCTTCGATAAATTTTGTTCTTATCTGATTAGTTCAAAGGTGATAGTCTACACTGACCATACAGCCGTGAAATATCTGTTTGAGAAGAAGGATGCTAAACCTAGGCTAATTCGATGGGTTCTGTTGCTGCAAGAATTTGACATAGAGATTTGTGATAAAAAAAAAAAAAGAATAGAAAATCAGGTAGCAGATCACTTATCAAGGCTAAAGTAACTACAGGATTTAGAGGACATGGATATTAATGAGGTCTTCCCAAATGAACAGTTATTACAGATAGAAAAGGCTCCGTGATATGCAGATATTGTTAATTACTTAGCTAGTGGCTATATGGATCCTGATCTCACCTATCAGCAAAAAAGAAGCTGCTTCATGAAGCGAAATTCTATTATTGGTATGATCCAAATTTATACAGGAGAGGGGCAGACCAGATCATTAGGAAATGTATGCCAGAGGATGAGATGAAACCGATCCTTTCACGGGTTCATGTTTCGACTTATGGAGGACACTTTGGCCCAACTAAAATAGCAACAAAGGTGCTTCAATGTGGTTACTTTTGGCCTACACTGTTTAAGGTCTGCCACAGTTTCTGCAGGTCATGTGATAGCGTGTCATGAGATGCCACTTAACAACATTTTGGAGGTGGAAATATTTGATGTCTGGGGGGTTGATTTTATGGGTCCCTTTCCATCATCTTACAACAATTGGTACATCCTAGTGGCGGTGGATTATGTCTCTAAATGGGTAGAAGCTAAAGCATTGCCTACAAATGACACAAAGGTGGTGGTGGTGGACTTCATAAAGAAACACATCTTTAAGCGCTATGGATCACCTAGGGTCATAATAAGTTATGGTAGAACTCACTTCCGCAATCTGTTATTCCAGGCAATGCTGCATAAATACGGGGTACAACATCGAATTGCCACTCCTTACCACCCTCAAACAAGTGGACAGGTGGAAACCTCGAACAAACAATTGAAAAGAATTCTGGAGCTCACTGTGAATACATCTCGCAAGGATTGGTTAAAGAAATTAGATGATGCTTTATGGGTGTATCGCACTGCTTACAAGACACCTATTGGAATGTCCCCATATCAACTAGTCTTTGGAAAAGAATGTCATCTACCAGTGGAGTTTGAGCACAGAGCGTACTGGACATTGAAGCAATTAAACATGCACCTTGAAAAGGCTGGAGAAACAATAATACTATAGCTACATAAATTGGAAGAATTCAGAAGAGAAGTATATGAGAATGCAGCCATTTGCAACGAAAGGACGAAGCAGTGGCATGACAAGAACATCAGGCAAAGAATTTTTAGAGTGAGAGATTAAGTGCTTTTATACAATTCCAGACTTAAACTGTTTCTAGAAAAATTGACATCTAGATGATCTAGCCCTTTCACGATCTCTCAGGTGTTTTCCTACGGTACAATTGAACTACACTATCCAACAAAAGGAAACTTCAAAGTAAATGGCCAACGTATCAAGCACTACATGGAAGATTTTCCCATAAAGAAAGCCTTGACCTAGCTGTACCAGAATGACCACGGCACAAAGTCAAGCTAATGACTTTAAAGAAGCGCTTATTGGGAGGCAACCCAATTTTCAAACTTTTTATTTTGCTTTTCATATTGCATAATATATAGTTTTGTTTTTTTACTAGGTTGCATTAAATTTAGACACGTTTCAATTTTTAGGAGTCATCACTCACATCCCTTCTGCCCTCAGGCCCTTGAATTTATTGTTGGTTATTTTGATTGTTTGATCTATGTAACCCTTGTTCCCTGTATTTAATTTGTGAAATTTGATTTTTCAAGAACATGACGTCGTGTAACACTCAAGCCAACATAGACCCAAGGGAAAGCACGATGAAGAAAATTATTTAGCCGTCACACACAGTGCCTCATACATTCAACAGAAAAATTTGGGGAGTACCTTCTTCTTTTTCCTCTCTACCCCCTTTATGTGCTTATTTATGCTTTATGACATTGAGGACAATGTCAGTTTTAAGTTTGGAGGTGAAAAAAAATTCTCTTTTATTCAGTTGTGTGCTTGTGTAGGTTAGATAGTCTGGTTGACTATGCTAATTTAATTTGAGATTTGGTGTTGGTTATTGAACTGTGGATAAGATGCATGCTAGACTAATTGAAGCTCAACCTTACAAAATTTGATATTACAAGTGCACTAGAATTGAGTTTGACATTGTGAGTAAATAAGTTGTTTCTTGCTTTTGATAGGTTGATCTAGTTGGATATAGATACTTTACCTAAACCATATTAAATTATCTATCTTTAGACCAAATTTAGCACAATTGGGGGTGACTTTATAGTTGTAGGAAGATACGGATGTGAATGTGAATTCCATGTGTGAAAACTTGTGTATGGATTATCATAGACTAACATGATAAAACTCGGCGAAAGTCTTAAGTTAGAGGTCGGTTTGTTTGAATAAGTGTGATAAGGGGCATTGTACTAATCAAGGCATATACATTTAAAATTTTAAACTTCCTTCGGAAGCCTTTATGACTCGAGTAATTAAGCCTATAAGGGTATCTTAAAATCTGTTGCCATAAAGTCGTTTGATTTGGGAATCATCAGCCTGAAGTTCGTTACAAGGGTCATTTAGAAAGCAGTTAGGGATGAAGTTACACTTGAAAAAAAAAAAGAAAAAGAAAAAAATTTGTTCTCTTCGAAGCCTTTTTTACTCGAGTCAGTAAGCCTATAAGGGTGTTTAAAACCCGGTGCCCTAAAGTCGTCTGACTTGGGAGTCATCGGCTTAAAGCCTGCTACAGAGGTCATTTAGAAAGCTTAATGGAGAGAATGTAAAAAAAGAAAAAAGCAAGTGCGCAAAAAGAGCAAAAACACTAAATACCTTTGTTAAGCCCTAACACTTATTTGAGAGAATTTGACTTTTGATGCAAGATAATTAGTTAGTTAAGTCTTGGAGGTCGAAGCAATCAAATAATTGGAGAATCCCTATTCACTGAAGTGTTGACTTGTAACTCGTAACGTCCACCTGAACTCGAGAGGGTGAGGATCGTAATAAAATATTCAACCTTTGGTTACATATTGGGAATGAGTGAAAAATAATAAGTTTGGGGGTGCTTGAATCATACGAGAGATGTAAGGATATATTTGACCACAGAGGGTCGGGAATTGAAATAACTTGTGCAGTCATTATTGATTACTTGATTCTTCAAACACATGCGTCAATTTTTACATTGGAAGAGTGGATATTAGTTTGGTACTGTGACTTTGAAGCATGTTTATAGAGTAAACACTAAATCTTGAATCCTGAGGTGAGAAGCTAGATTGTCCATCCAAATATTTTTGCATGATTGTGTGTCTATTACTATTTAGTTTATAGTTTTGTTTGAGAACAAACAAATGTTTAAGTTTGAGGGTATTTGATAAGTGTATTTTATATATTTATTCGGTACCTTAAATAGCGATATTTGATGGTTCTTTTGACAAATTATATCCTAAATTTTTATCTTTTATGTTTAATAGGTAGAATTTTATGAAGGAAGGTGAATTGAAGGAATGAAGCAAAAAAGGGCGAAATGCAAAAGTTTGGGATCAAGTTGTAACAATTCAATAGTTGATCCGGACCATGAATCAAAGATTGAAGAATTTAAAGACCAAATTTTATACTTTAGAAAGTGAAGGACTTGAATTGAATCAAAGAAGACATGAGTTGCAAGAATAAAAGAACTCAAGGATTGAATTGCATTATCTTGAAAAACGAAGGACTTGAAGAATAATTTAATTATTAATGGCTTAAATTGGTTGTTGATTGGAACTCTACATGCATGCATGAATTAAAATCCTTCTTGAAGTGAAATAAAGGGCTGCAGGTAGGTTGGCAGAAAGCTAGAGTTCTTTTTAGTCAAATTTGGTGGCTATTAGAATTTTATTATGATATATACATGTACAGAGAGAGGGAATATTTTTCTATATACTTGAGGCTGTTAGGGATAGATAGACACGCACGGCAACCAATTATATATAAATTTCCTACAGAATTGGGGCTGAATTTTGAGAGAAATGCACGAAAATTGGAGCAACAGAATTAATTGGAGGGAGCTGGGGGATTTGTCTTCTTCCATTAAATTTACACGCATAGGAAATCCAAGGAGAGAGAGGGAACACGTGCAAAAAGCCCGTGGAGGCTGGAGAAAAATTGGAGATTATTTTTGCTAATTCTCGATGATGAATTTCGTGATAATATCTCGTGTTTCCTCCATTAATATGCGTAGTTAAATTTAATTGTAGGACGAACAATATAATTTATTTGGGACTTTTATTTCTTTTATTTGAGATTCTTGTTATTTTATATTTTATGTGTGAATTTTAATTATGTTTTTAATGCTTTTAATTTTCTGGCAAATTATTCAATGATTTCGTGAACAATAATTATGTAGAGATGATGATTCTTGTTTAAACCACATATTAAAATTCGATAAATTAGTATAACGTGTAGAGATACATATATTAATTGCTGCGGTCCTACAGAAATTCTTAGAATTGTTATTTAATTTGTAGAGAGATATAAAATTAAACTAATTAAATAGGCTCAACGAGATTTCGAGAGAGGTAAGTTGAATACAATAGAAGAATTTGACCGAACATTACTTTAATTTTATGAATCTCGATATTAGAAGTAAATGTGACCAATAGGTGAAGTTGTTCCGCCCTAATCTTCATTTATTATCTGAATTCTTACTCATTTTCTGTTGCATTCATGAAATTTTTAGTATTTAGATTTAAAAATCATATTCCATCATTTTTATATTTATTTATTTTCATCAAATAGAAGTTAGGAATAATAAATTGAGTACTGAAATATAATTCTCGTGGGAATGATAATCCGGATTCAAAAGGTCCACTTTACTACTTCTTACGATCTGTTCACTTGCGGGATAAAATCGACAACAATAACTTACAGCCTAAGAGATTGTGTTTAAGAACATGCACCTTCAACCAGGGGCATTCCTGAAATTTTTAAAACCCTAGGCAATAAATTATCATGAGACCTCTACACATAACTTTTTTGACAAGCATATTAGCAACAAACATGGTCAAATAAAATAGTTTTTCGTAACGAGGAACATTATATCGATTGTACTTACTCACCGTTTGATTCGTCCAATAATCAATTCTCTTGTTCAAGAAATAGAAGACAAAAGGTTTTTGGAAATCAGTCAAGTATGGAGTGGTGATTACCATTAATTGTCCAAAATATCCTATGTTTAAAAATTAATAAAAATAAAAACAACAATCACATAGAAAATAAAGGAAAAGAAATTGAATCGTATCCACCACTGTAGAAGTTTACGTACCTTCATGATCTAAAGTAATAGAAGATGATTCAATATTTAACCCCCCTGTTGGGAATCTACTTATACATGCACAGTGGAAAATTAAATTATTTCGATTCCCATCCAATAGATCTCATTGTGTTTGGTTAGGAATTGTGATAAGATTGTACCTTTTGTCAGATCTGCAATATTTTTGCTTTTCTTTTCGTTCCATCAACCTTGATTTGCCACCACAGCTGTCCAATTGTCCAGCCTCCAACGGTGATCCACACAGAGAATATGATTGCAGCCTCTAGGGTTTTCTCTTGTGCCAGCAAGAATAATGAAAACCTTATGGACCTCAAACCCTAGTTATGTATTTATATAAACCCAAACAGGCTCGGCCCGGTCCGGTCCAATAATTAATTAATCCAATTAATTAAACCCGGTCCGTGAATTAATTAATCTAATTAATTAATTCGAAAATATGAATAACAAATCCAATTAATTAATTTGTCCAACGATTGTTAAATTAACCAATTGGCAATTTGCAATCTTCCAATTCTCTTTTGTGTGTGACCCATTAGGTTCCCGACCACGATGCCTAACGACGTGAAATATTATTTTGATCTAATCAAAATTGATAAATTAAAACACCATTTTAATTTATCGTCAATTCACATTCGCCGTCCCTGATTGACATCTAGCAATGTGTCAGGGCAATACATGTGACGGGAAATGTCACGTGGTATGACAAAAACCAAATTCGTTCGTTTACCGTGAAACTATAATCCCTTCGTCAATATGATCCGATCAATTACGAGATATGGAGTTGTGTCAATCTCGATCATCGATCATATCTTTCACTCCACTATTAAGTCAATATAAATCGAAAACTCATTTTCGACTTATG